CAGGAGCGGGCCAGCTCTGCCAGCCAGGGCCGCCCGGGACCTCCCCCCTCCCCGGGAAGTAGCCACCTCCCCATCATGGCGGCAGTCGTTGGAGAAGGACGAAGGTGGAGGTGCAGGGGTGCAGGGGGAGGCAGGATGGAGGAGGGGCTGGGCAGTGGTGGTCCCAGCAGACAGGAGTGGTCAGGCAGATGGGTTAGCAAGGATGGAGTAGTGTGCAGCAGGGCCCTGCTGCCCCGAGCAGCCAGCCCTGCCATTGCCGGCTGCCCTGCTCTGCAGCCTCCTGGGTCCCCAGGGGCCTGCCTGCCTGTGCTCCCGCGCCCCGGGGAGCTGGCCTCAGCCCCCTGTACCTGGTGCATGTGGGCAGCGGGTCCCGCCTCCCTTGCCAGGCCTGTCTGCAAGCCTGAGGCAGAACCTGGGAGCCCCTTCCCCAACCAACACCTCTCCCCTCCCCGGCCTGGCAGCGGCAGGGTGGGCCCCCTTGGCCAAATGGTCTACTGAGAGCGGGCCAAGAGCCAACAGTCGGAACCGGCTGCTGCACCTCAGCTTCCACCGAGCCCCCAGGGGGCAGGGGTGCGTGACCTGTGATGCGGAAAGCGCAGGGTGCTGGGATGGCCCTTGTTGCAAAATCCAAAGAGCCTTCCTGGAGGAGGCAGGCTCCGAGCCGAGACTGTTAGGTGTGCGTGGGTGAAGCGTGAGTGCGGATGGGCGGGGCTGCAGGTGGAAGGCGCTGGAGCTGTGTGTTTGCGGTGTCAGGGAGAAGAGCCTGGGGGGACCCGGTCAGAGGTCACTCCCGCCGCTGCCGCGGGGCATGCTGGGAGCAGTGGCGGTGGGGTTGGAGAAGGTAAGGGCGGTACAGAGAGAGAAGCCACAGGTGTGCCATCAAGAGCCTGGGGGGACCCGGTCAGAGGTCACTCCCGCCGCTGCCGCGGGGCATGCTGGGAACAGTGGCGGTGGGGTTGGAGAAGGTAAGGGCGGTACAGAGAGAAGCCACAGGTGTGCCATCAACAGGTGCTGGCGAGAGGAGAAGGGGGCGACAGTCAGCTGTGTGTCTGGGGCACCTGGGTGGTGGGAGCCGGGCCTGGCTGTGCAGTGAACAGCGGCAGTGGGGGCAGGGGGCGGCGCCTCTGATTGGCCACGCCCCGCAGACGCACTGGGCGAGCTGGGGAGCACAGCGCCCCCTGTAGGTGGTGGGTGGAACCCCAGGGTGCGTGTGCTCACCGCGGAGGAGGCAGCCTGACATTGGAAGGAGAGAGGGAAGGGGAGTGGGCGCCGGCCCAGCAGTCTCCAATGCCCTCGGTCCAGTTGTACAATGGCTGAGGTGTCCCTGCTGCCCTTGGTGGCCCCTGGGCGCAGGAGCCTGGTCAGGGTGAGGGATGATGAAGGCAGATAACACCTTTCCGGAATTCGGTGTGAAGAGGGAAGAGCTGAGGATGATATGTGAATACACTGATTTTTTTAAAAAGATTTACAGGCAGAGGGGGGACAGAGAGAGAGAGAGGGAGAGATCTTTGATCCCCGGTGCACTCCCCAAATGGCTGCAACGGCCAGGGCTGGGCTGGGCCAAAGCCAGGAGCCAGGAGCTTCTTCTGGGTCTCCCACATGGGTGACGGGGCCCAAGTACTTTGCCATTTTTTGATGGTTTCCCAGGCGCATTAGCAGGGAGCTGCGTGAGCTGGAAGTGGAGTGGCCAGGACTCGAACCGGTGTCCGTGCGTCCCAGGCAGCGGTTTAACACGTCATGCCATGATGCCGGCTCCATGAATAATTTTTATGGATGACAGGAGATCAAAGAGCTTAAATTCCAGGGTAGAACAACAGCGAGGGGGAGTTGTCCAGGTGAGCAAGAGAGAGGGAGGGGGCCTCTGTGCACTAGTGCCCTTGGGACAGGGGCTGGGCCCAAGGCCAAGGTGGGGGAGGGGTCAGCCTTGGATGAGAGGAGGAGCCGCCCCTGCAAGGGTGCTGGAGCTGAAGCCAGAATACTGCACCCTGCAGACAGCCATCCTGGAGCAGGTGCTGAGGTGGCTCACGCATGCGCTCAATAACGGGATAAGAAGTACCTGTGGGGGTGTGGTGGGACGTGTAGCCTAGTGGTTAAGATGCCAGTTAAAACTCCCACATCCCAGTCTGAGCACTGAGGTTCAGTTCCCGGCTCCACTGCCAGCTCCAGCCTCCCACGAATGCAGACTCGGGAGTCACCCTGGCTCAAGTGGTTGGATTACTGCTGCCACCCGCGCGGGAGACCTGGATGGAGCTCTCAGCCCTGGCCGTTGGGGGCATTTGGGGAGTGAGCCAGCAGCTGGGAGCTCTTTCTGTCCGTCTTTGAAATAACTTCAAAAAAAGCAGCGCGTGCAGTGGGTGATAGTGGTAACCGCCACCTAGGGACAAAGCAGTTTGTCCTGAACCAGGGAGCTCCTGCTCCCCAGCAGCCAGGATTGGAATAAGCCCGAAGGGAACCCCCGACACACGGCTCACGCCTTGCACTCACCACGCAGAGCCCCAGCCTCGCCTGCTGGCCGTGCAGCTTCCGGCATCCTGAGCTGGGTCCGGTGGACTGAGCCGGTGATGTGGGACATGAGACGTCTCCCGTTCCGCGGTGGCAGTGAGCGTGGCACCGCGTGCATTTAGCTGCACACCGCCGGCCGCTGCTCTAGGCACGCCGGCACTGGGCCGCATTCTGAGTCCTGACACGGTTCACGCACGCCTCTACTCAGCAAGTCCTCGGTGAAGCACCTACTGTGTGCCTCTGAGGGTGCTGAAGAAGCCGGGGCCCACACCGGGAGGCTTTCCTCCTGAGCCCATTTGGAAAGTGCACCTGCTGCTTCTGTCCTCAGAACCTGCCTTACCCCCATCCCCCCCCCCCCCCCACCAGCCAGGGGAGTCCACCTTCTCCTGCCTCTTAGGGGCCGGGGGTAGTTTCTGCCCGGGGACCTGTGAGAGGACTTTGAATGGCAGTCATGTCCCTGATGGAGACAGTCCTGGCCGGGCCCAGCTGTCTCCCAGGAGGTGACAGTGAGTGGTTCCTCAACAACTCAGAACGACCCTGCTTGGGCTGAGCTGTGTGTGTGTGTGTGCTCCACCACCCCAGGCAGGTGCAACTCCCTGAGGCCCTTTCCCCCCCACCCCCTCCTGCCCTGCAAGGTTCTGTTCATACAGGATCAAAAGAAACCTTGAGCCCGTGGGAGAAGCTCTGATGGCAGTGGCACATGGCAAGCACACGGCCACTGAGCTTGGGCCTGACCACAGCCCACCTCCATTTGGTGGGGAAGTTGAAGCAGAGGGGTGGGCTGGATTCTCCTGGCCACACAGCGAGCTGGTTGTAGAACCCAGGCTGGAGCCCAGGGCCCCTCACTGCTTGTCCAGGTTTCTTTCTGCTGCTCCAGGGGACAGTGTGTGACTTGGGGCTTTTTTTTTTTCTTTCCTCTGTGCCATGGCCACCAGCAGTATGCACAGAGTGTGGGCTGTTGCCGTGGGCTGCTGGGGGGATTTGAGATCAGGTGTCTGAAGGTGGCACTGAAATTCAAGGTCCTCTGGCCTTTTGAACATCTGGAGCAAGGTGTCTTCCAGCCCGAATCTGACATCCCGGGCCTGGCACCTGTGGCCAGGCCCTAGGATCTCCCTCTGGTCAACCCTGCTTCAGCAACAGGGGACATTAGAAAGAGTAGAGACGCTGTTCCTGGAGACGCTGTTTCCCCAGATACCCCAGGGGCTGGCTGATCCGTGTGCAGGTGCATAGCGGGCTGCACGCCGTGGGAAGGGGCCGGAGCTGCCTGCCCTGGGCGGAGTGAGAGAGCAGCAATGCTTGTTTCCAACGACTGGGTTTTCAGACGCTTTGTGGGCGGGGAGCCAGCATGCTGAGCGGCGAGGCCCTGGGGCTCCGGAGCCAGCCTGGCTCTGCTGCTGCGGAGCTGTGTGACTTCAGGCGAGAGGTTCAGTGTCTCTGTGCCTCTTGCTCTAATTAGGAGACAGGAGTTAATGTATCTGCACTGTGCTCCGTAAACAGAACACACAGTGAAACATTGTTTTTGTTGCAAAAGCCATTTCTAAACTGTTACTGTTGCTGGGGGAGGGGGGCTGCCTGCATGCTGCCCACCTGTGCTCCCCCCAGTAGGCTGGGGGCCTCCCCGACCCCAGCCCAGCCTCAGCGCATAGGAAATCGATGAATGAGCCTGCCCCTCACCGCACACCCTCGGTCTGAGTGACCACCCATTGATTGCCTCTCCCTGATAGTCCCTGGAGGATAGTTCCTTTCCTGCCCACGCCCAGGCAGGGGGCAGGATTCCCCATACAGTGGTGGGGGTTTCCACGGGCAGCCCCGTGTGGTTTTCCACTCATGAGCCTGGAGGGGCCTGGAGCCACAGGGAGGACGGGCAGGGCCTGTGGCAGGTGGGGGTCCGCGCTGTCGCTCAGTGGAACTGGAGCTGATCCATGCGCCTGGGGACGTGCTGGGAAGCAGAGATTCCACTTGCCATGTGCCCTGGCCGAGCTGGTGTGCTGTGAGGGCCGGGAGGCTGGGGTCTAGCTCTGGCTCGGCCACGACTGGCGACGGGACCCCAGGCAGATGAGCCTGGGCTGCCTCCCCGCCAGCCCAGCCCTGTCTTACGAAACGAGGAGTGACATGAAATGATCCCGGGAGATTTATACCAGGCCTTCCGGGGGCTCCATTGTCCCCTGGATGGGGGTGGAAGTCCTTTATAGGGGGCCGGCCATGGAGGGGGTGGGTCTCAAGACAGAGGATTGGGCAGTTCTGACCTGGGGGCAGGGGAAGGCTTCTGGTCCCCTCAGAGAGAAAGGACCGACCCGTATGCAGTATTGAGTAGCTCCGTATGCACCTGCGCCCGGTAGACCCCTCACCTGGGGGCGGGCTGCCCCGTGTGCTTTGGAGGGCGCTGGGAGTGCTCCCAGCGTGGGTGGGGCTGGACCTGACGCCGCTTCTGTCTTCCAGGTGAGGAGTTTTACGAGGCCTCTCCCTACGAGCCGGTCACCTCCCGCCTCTCCGACATTTTCAGGCTTGCGTCCATCTTCTCAGGTAAGCAGGCTCCGGCCAGCTCAGGCCGGCTTGGGCCGGCTGGGGCCACCCGTCAGCACAGCCCCTAAGATTTCTGCGCCTCGGCTCCCCATCTGTGAAGGAGGCGCTCGTGCCGCCCACCTGCCCAGGTGGCCCCTCTGCACAGGTGGCGCTGTGGGGGTTGTCTGGTGGGATGCCGTCACGGCGTGGGTCCCGAGCGTGGAGTCGTTTGTCTTTGTGCTGTTCTGTCACCCGTGGCCCTCCTTCCTTCTCTCCAGTCTCCTGCCTCTTTTGCTTTGGAACTTTTCTTTCTTTCTTTTTGAAGATTGATTTTATTTATTTGAAAGTCAGAATCACAGAAAGAGAAAGAGAGATCTTCTGTCCACATGTTCACTCCCCAAATGGCCACAGTGGTCAGGGTTGGGCCAGGCCAAAGCCAGGAGCCAGCATCTTCTTCTGGGTCTCTCACATGGGTGCAGGGCCACAAGCACTTGGGCCATCTTCTGCTGCTTTCCCAGGCACAGTAGCAGAGACCTGGATGGGAAGTGGGGCAGCTGAGACTTGAACCGGTGCCCATCTGGGATGCTGGGCGCTGCAGGCAGTGTCTTAACCTGCTTTGGAACTGTTCTACTTGTCAGGTCCCTTAACCTCTCTGTGCACTTCAGTTTCCACAGCTGTGACAGTAGCTACCTCGTGGGCGGCTTGTCGTGAGGTTTCCATGAGTGAGTAGAGCGTAAAACACCCTCAGCCGGCGGCAGGACTTCTCTCTCCCCGCCCCTCACAAATCTGAAATCCAGAACGCTCCCAAATCCAAATGTTTTTGAGTGCCGTGGGTGGGAAGTCACGAGTGCAAAGTTCCCGGTCAGCCGTGGGAAGGCTGCAGGTGCACTAACCCTACAGGCAAAGTCCCCTTCAGGCTGTGCCTGTCGTGGGAGCGTGTGAACACCCGTGGGGTTTGGGGGGTCCCCTTCCCCCCGTGTGAACATCCCCACTTCCGAAGAATCTGAAACCCAGTACGCTTCTGTCCCGGGCGCTTCCAATGCAGGACCCTGGCCCGTGTCAGTCCTTGGTGTCACCGAGATCCGTTCTGCTCTGGGTTTTCGTGCTTCTCAAACCGCACTGAGGGAGGCACCTCTGGCCCCCCAGCCCCTGCTTCTGCACCTGGCCTGCCCGGTGGGCGGGGCTGAGAGGGACCACTGTGGGCTGTGGCTCAGCTGTCAGGGCCCCTGGGTTGGAGCCCGATGAGCCTTGGGGTTCTTTCTGCTGGCCTGCCATTCCTTCCAGGGTTCGGGAGACCCCTAACCCAGAGCTTGTTCTCGGGGGGTCCCTGACTATGGGGATCTGGCTTGCAGGCGACTGGCAAGCTCTGAAGTCAGCCAGAGTTCTCAGCTCTCCACCAGGGCATTTGCGTGGCGGCAGCAGCATTAGTTGTTTGCCTGATAGTTCTTGTGGGAGAACTGCAGAGAGAGGAAAGAGAGAGAGAGAGGGAGAGAGAGATCTATCACTCCCCAGATGGCCACAATGGCCAGGATTGGGCCAGCCTGAAGCCAGGAGCCAGGAGCTTCTTCCTGGTCTCTCATATGGGTACAGCGGCTCAAGTACTTAGGCCATCTACCGCTGCTTTCCCAGGCACAGTAGCAGGGACCTGCATCAGAAGTGGAGCAGCCAGGACTCGAACTGGCGCCCCATGGGGTACTGGATCTCAGGCGGCAGTTTTACCAGAGACTTGGCAACAAGACCCTTACCCTTTCAAACAAGGAATTCTCCTGGATGGTGTTTTGTTTTTTTTTTCTTTTAGTTTTTTTTTTCACGATCGCCTCCCTAACCATGGAAATTAAGTTTGGTCACAAAGGCTTGAGTTTTAGAAGCGGACCCCCAAGGAAGTGTAAGATCTACCCTTTGTGTGCCCACCTGAGAACAGACGCTTGCTCCTGTGACGTGGTCTCCCCACCCCCTGGCTGAGAATGCCCACCCTGGACGGGGCTGATCTTTGCCTGCGCCTGGCGGGAGAAACCTTGGGTCCCCTTAAGAAGGGAGGCACCGGCTAGAGCGTGGCTGTCTGGGTGTGGCCTTGGGCCCTGGTGGTGGCAGATGGAACGGAGATGTCACAGACGCCCCGTGGGGTCATGGCAGAAACGCTGGGCTCAGAGCGGCCTCCTTCCTGTCCTGCTTCCACCAGTGGGCATGAGCTTTGTGCGTTTGCTGGATGGACAGAGGTCCCTTCTAGAACATTCTGGGTCTTCCAGATTAGACCTGCAGAGGGCTCCACCTTGGACCAGTCCTTCTGAGACAGTGCTGTGGGCTCAGATGCTGGTGGACATCATGGTGGGGATGCCCCGGGGGCCTCCGGTGCACCTGTGACCCGCCCTGCCTGTAGCTCAGGTGCCAGCCCGGTGCTCCTGGGTGGTGTCCTCGGATGAATAGTCCCCCTGGGCTTGGTCCTGGAGAGCTGAACTCAGAGATGCTCCCCTATAAACCCAGGCCCCCAGTGCTTCCTGGACTCACATCTAAGCGTCTTCTTAGCCCCAAATCTTTATGTTGTGGACTTGACGCTCCGTGGGACCAGGATGTACAGGAAATCACTTGGTCTGCAGCTCCCTTGCTACCTGTGGCTGGGAGGTACTCGGGCCCCACTAACCTTGCACCTCTGCTCTGCGGACCCCTCCCTACCGTGAGGGCTGGCTTTGGGGTGCGTGGCAGCCCCTCCTCATCACCCCTGGTGACTGCTGCACCCCAGGCAGCCCTCGAGTTGGGCGAGGGGGTGGCTGTGTCTCGGGGAAGTCCAGCATGGCCGGGTGGTGAGGCCCAGGGGGTCCGTGTGTGGGGCTGTGGCAGAGAGAGGCTGGGAGGCCACATTGCTGGGCTGTCGCTCCCGTAGGTCACCCGTGGGGCCTGGGGCAGCCACTTCCCTGCTGCAGACCCCTGGTTCTGTTCTGTAGCTGGTCCCATCCAGGCCACCGGCTGTGCAGAGCAGCCTGGGGCTCTGTTGTTGGCAGCCCTGGTGTGGATCAGGGGTCGGGGTCCAGGCCCACACGTCATCCACCTGTGTGTGTGTGTGTGTGTGTGTGTGTGGCCCAGCGGCTGGGAAGCATCGGCCTGGGTGACCCAGAGCCTGGTGCCATGAGGTCATCGGACTGTTGTTCTATGAGATTAGAAGCCTCTCCCTACTTCCACACACGCGTGTCTGGCCCACGCAGCCATCTCGATGTGGAGGGACTGTTTGCAGGGGGGCCTGGAGTCCTGGTGGTCTCCCCTGCACTGCTGCACGCCAGCGTGTCCCCCGGGGCAGGAGGCTGCTGTGTCTTGGGGGCCCAGTTGTTGGGATCTCTTTACTCCCTCTCGGTTGAGAGGCCCTGGGACAGGGGTCTCCGGGAATGCACAGCGGGAGCTCCTCCTCATCTCTCGCCTCCTCTCTCTCTCTCTCTCTCTCTCTCTCTCGGTTCTTGGAAAGTCCCACTGGGATTCCGTTGGCGAGGACAGCCGCCAGGATTTCTGTAGCGCTCACTGGCAGCGTCTGCCTTCCTCCTGGCTCAGCCTGGCCCGCCAGGGCCTGGGTGTGGGATCAGCTGGGCCTGAGCCCAAGGCCTGGGGGACGGTGACGTCAGACGCGCCCACGTGTCCTGCTCTCACTTTAGGTGTGGGAAGACAGAAGCGGATCTAGAGTCCACAGGAGGGGGCTGGGGCACGGAGGCGGGTGGAGCAGGGGCAGGGGCCTGGAGCCAGACTTCCCTGGGTGGGGTCCTGGCTCAGAGCCTCCCAGCCCCTGGGGCTCTTCCTGAGAGACAGGCAGGGGAGACTGGCAGGTGGCCGTGGCTGTCACCGGGCTGTGCATTTGGAGTGGGAGGCTGGGGCATGGGGCACATCCACGGAACCACTTCTGCATCTGGAAGGGAGTTGTGGGGTCACGCAGGCCCACCCCTTCATCTGACAGGAAAGGAAGTGGGCTAAGAAGGGGCCGATGGAGACCGGGGCTCAAGTGCGGGCTCCACGCCCACCCAGGGTGTACCTTAGAGCGCCTCTCCTCTTGCCCAGCGCGGGCTGATAGAAACACCTTTCTCCGAGGGTCCCAGTGAGATATGGCTGTGAGTGCTTGGCCCGGTACCTGGCATGTTTCCCTAAAACACGTTAACTGTACGACACGAAAATTGTCGTAGGTGTTTGGCTTGGTGGTTGAGACCTTGAGACACCAGCATCCCTTGTACCTGGATGTGAGTGCTGGCTCTGGCTCCAGCTTCCTGCTAACGATAGCAGTGATGGCTGCAGTAGTTAGATCCCTGCCACCCACGCGGGAGACCCCGACTGGGTTCCTGGCTCCTGGCTTTGGAAGAGTGTGATCGCTCGCTTGCTCTCTCCCTCTCCCTCTCCCTCTCCCTCTCCCTCTCCCTCTCCCTCTCCCTCTCCCTCTTCCTCTCCCTCTCCCTCTACATCTCTATCACGTAGCTGCCAGGGGTGTGCACAAGTGTATGCACAGCACACGCCACAGGCAGGCACCTTGCTGCTGCAATGAGCTTTAGCTAAACACGGAGCAAACACACGAGTGAACTCTGGTGCTCATCATCTTGCCTTGTGGAAGTCACGTGGGCTCTCTGCGCTCTGCTTTCTGCTGTGTGTGTTTAGTAGACAGTGACGACCTATGAAGAATCACATCCAGAGCTGAGTTCTGATTTCATGTGCAGCCCATGCACTTTGTCCTTCATGTGGTTCTTTCATCCTCAGAATAAATATTTGCCATTTTATTCTATAACCTCTCTGGCATTAAGATAAATATATATAG